AACAACACACAGGAATGTCTTTACATGGGAACCTGGCAAATTTCAATTCTGAAGAGTCATCAGGAAGAGCTTTTTCTTGTCATTGCTTTGATGGATTTCTCAAATTAAGTTAAATTTCTTGAAAGTGTTGGTTAAACCACACAAGCTTTAGTCCGTCGTGCATCATAGCTGATCCGAGCGCACGCGTCTCTGCGAACAAACAATATTTTGAGCTTTACATACTTTTATTTTTAATATGTTATAATTAGTTGATTTTTTTGGTGTCCCTTTTTGCACTTGGTGCTTCATGTATCTGTATAAACCCATCTTTGTTCTGAATCAGCCACAAATCTCTTCACAGTATGATGATAACGCTTCAGTTTTTAAGTATCTCACGTTTTCATACCTTGTCATACGGTTCTACACTATCTGATTTTCGTCAGCAGAGAGATCCTTTCTCTTCCCCATATTGCTTGAAACCTGTGGCCTGCTTAATAATGTGGAACATCCTTCTTGAGTAGATTTCCTTTAATTGAGCGAAACTAATCAACCCAGCTGTCTGAAATTAATTACAGTGATTCAAAGAGCCCCGACACACAATACCATCTATACATTTAATAACACAACAAAAACTGTAATCTTTATGACACTTAAATCCAATTTGCATAATACTTTGGAACACGGTGTGAACACTGCCAGGCTCCCTACTGCTGCAGACTGGTTGCAGATACACGAGGTTACCTTTGTTGTAGCAGCAACTTGACAAGTGAAACTCTGGAGCTTCATTGTTAGCATCTCACATTCATGTTGCATGAAGGCAACGCAGAACAAATTGATCCTTTGGTACGTTGATACTGATGCGACACGTTGTTGCAACAGATTGATTTTTCTTTTTTTTTTCATGGTGGGTCGTTTTTCGGTGATGCACTTCAACGTCACATGAATAGTTTAAGTCAAAGAGCACAGTCAGCAGTTCAGCGACACTAACATAACTACAGCTTGGACTTTTACTAGACCTTTGTAAGATCTTAACAGTTTTACCAACCATTCAAATGCAGCTTTTGTACTTATTGATGCACAACATTCTAAAATACCTAAAAGACTGAACAATGACGTGTCCACCACTTTAATTTATAAATGATGTAAGCTGTTTACAATATGATTTTTCTTCTTTTTTTTTTCAGACTCACAAATGTTGAATTGTAGAAATGACCAAATTAAGCAGCTCGGTGTCTTAACTTCTATTGTAAGAATTTATCATTTCACAGAAGAAGCATTAAATTTACAAACCAAGAGCAGACCAGGGGAGGCAGGGTTCGGCCGACAGTCATTAGTAAAATTGTAGGGAGCTCAAATAGAAGAAGATTAAATGGTCTTCTGGGAATGGATGCAACACCTCATGTGCTCTAAGTGCAGGCGCATAAATGCTTTTTCAGTATCACTACATTAAACGCTGGCTGCTTTTAGCTCGTGTGCAATTACCTACTGGATGACTTGCTGTCCATCACCCGAGTCCGACAAGCGAGTTTGATTTAATGAAAGCGAAGGAGGCAGAGGCGGAGGACGGATTGAATTACCAGATGTTTGCCACGGACGTATGAAATTTTTATCGTTCATCAAGCAAAAAAGAAGAAAGAAAAAGGCACTCAAGGCGAGGACGATCCGGCGACATTTTAGCAGATGCATTGATACCCCGCAAAATAAAAGCTGGTGTTAAAGATGAGGCTGGGATGGATTTCTAAATTAAGATGGGAATAAATAGGAACAACATAGAAACACACTTTAGGGCTACTGCTATTTCATTTCATCTGTCTTGTAATCTTCTCTATGCGTACATATTTTTCGCTTCAGCTAGCCTTTGTAGCATTCAGCGTTATTATGCCTTTTCTGGTTTAAGTAGCTTTTCCTCCGAAAGTGTTTCTGCTGCTCTCCCACTGCACAGTTTAAAAATTCAAGCGTGTCCCATCGATGAACCTGGTCCGTCTAATTACAAAGTCGGCAAATCTAACCTCTGCACTATGAATCCTCTCTGCCTGAGGGGAGAATTTGGACACAAGAACAACAGGATAAAACATGCAGTGACATTTTCGAGAAAGATGTTTGACGGCATTGTGTAGACAGATTATGACTGCAGGCTTTGGGTGGGAGGGGAAACCTCATCAGTTTATATTGTGTCTCCACTGATAAGTCCCCACTTAGGCCTGGGTGCGCGCATAAAAGAAGCTAATTCTCTCCACCAAGAGCTGCTGCGTGTCAGACGTTGCATGGACGCGCTGCGACTGTCGCTCAGATCTTTCGAGAAAGAGACGGTGCTGATAAAACCAACTGTTGGAAATTAGCATATAAAAGCGGCGCAATGGTTTGCATGCATATCAATCCTGGGGAGCATTTAGTTAATCTGTCAGCGTACATGAAAATGATCTTTTCATGTAATTGAAAAGACAATTACATGAACGGCAACATTTTGAATTCACTAACTCCACTTAATTAAGTAAATTCTGACCAAATATAATTTTTCTCACTTGTTTGGTCCATCAGCATGTTGGAGCGATACACACTGATATCCATCCTTCCATCTATTGTCTGTCTACCCTGCTAATATAGTTGATACAAAGTGTAATTTCAATGTTTAACATTCAGGCTTCCATTTAGCAACACTGGTGCAGATTGAAGCAGCAGCCATGTCATCAGGCACCCGTATGTATCTGGCAGAAATGAAAACTGACACTTTTCTCAGCAAATATAGCTCCACACTGCAAAAAACACAAAATCTCAGCAAGTACTTTTGGCCTCGTTTCTACTGCAAATACAAAAAAAAAGACAAAACCAACTTACAAGGAACTTTTCAGAAAGAAATATGAGTCAAGAACTCCTTAATATTGATGGAAAAACTACTTGTTCCACTGGCAAATTATTAAATTTATAACAAGACATTTTTCCTATGAGTGAATAATATCTCTTATTGACTTTTTTATATAAAACAATTAGTTTTGTCTTGCAGTTTTGCCCAAGACCACATGTATCCTCCCAATACTTCAGTCTTTTTTCTGCTTCTTCATTCCCTTTGTTTAGTATTTATTTCCTGTGTCATCTCAATTTATTTACTTATTTATCCTCTTTTGCTTATTTATTCGTAGATGTGGAGTACTTGTGTTTCCTTGAATTTCATGCCCACGGACTGGTTGAAAATATATGTAGCTAAAAAAAAAATTAAAAAAAATCTGCACTCCAAATATTTTGAGAAATTATACTTTAGTTTCTCATGTAAATTTCCAGAACGATTTCATCACGTTCTCTGTTCTATGTGTCATATTTTCAGTTTTCTCACGATTGCCGTTTTGCGACGGAGATAAAGCTGAAGTTACTGTGTGATGTGCTTGTTGTGGTTTTTAACCCGGAGGGCGGCGGGAGCTTTGTGTGCCCTTATGAGTGCCGCTCTACGGAGCGACTGGGCTTTCATGGCACAAGCCTACGAACCGTCATGTTTTATTCAGCGTCAGCCACAAACAGCAGCTCTGTTCACAAGCGTCACATGGCTTCTTGTCTTTTCCACAACCTGTTTCCTTTCTTGCTCTTTCTAGCTCTCCCCCCCTCCCCTCCCGACCCGCCGGGTCACTCTGTCATCTTATTTTAAAGGATAATCAATGAAAGAAACAGACCTCCATTCTGGTTGCACACACACTGTAAGTAATGACTGGCGAGAAGTGAAAATAATCTGAGGTCAGGAGCTAAAAGCATAAAGTTTACGACGCTGTTCTTTCTGCAGTGAGTTATCTGGGGAGAAAACTTGAGACGATACGTGTTTTTGTTTTTCCAGTTATTTATTCTGCCTCGATTCAGTGAGAGGTTTTAGATGTTAGTGGTAAAAATGTTACAATTTTTGTCCTTGTGCAGCTCCACAGGTCCTGTGTTATTGCATTGGAAAGTTTTAAAGTCTTCCTGTGCCTGGTTTTCTTTCTTAAGCAGCTTCAACATGAGAGAAAAAAAATCGACTCCATCATCCATCCCGATCTTTCCCTGGTCTTCTAGTCCTGACCACCAGGGGGTCAGTCGTCGTTCATTCTTCTGTTACCTTGACACGACTCGTCTCGTGTTTCTTCAGAAATGATAAATGTTTATTTTGGGCTTTTAAGTATTTATACGTTTGAACTTTACGAATGCATGTTGAGGTGGTAAAGCAAAAAAAAAAACACAAAAAAAAAACACCACTGAATGCCATATAATGGTTTTTCTCAATCTGAGCCAGGTCTCAAATATATCCAGTGAACTACGAAAATTATTCACACCCCTCTTAGTTCGGCATATGAAATTGTTTTCATGCAACCAAGAACCGATTTCTGATTGGAAACATCTCAGACGATACTTTGAGGGACCGTTTGAGACATTTCCTTCTTGGTCTGCTGCTTCTTCATAAATGGTGATGTAAATCTCATTTTACCATGGACATAGATTCTGGTATCCAAGGCTCAGACCTTGGTATTTCCTTTTTGCTGTTTAATATCTTCACCATATTGTTTTAATCACAGGGAGCGGTTTGGTACGGATGAATGAAACCTGGGTATTCCAGATGTGTAATGGAATACCTAAAACACCTTAAATCGGTTCGGGAATAAAAGGAGGAGCAACAAAAGTAAAATCTCATATAGTTTCAACTCAAAATAAATTCTTGCTTTGAAACCTTGCTAAAGCGAGTTGTTGTTGGCAGATATTATTAGAGGTGCATCCATATCGCCCTCTATGGCTGCAGCTGTTTCATGCCATTCTGAGAAGAGCAGACTTTGAACACATCATTTTGTCACCTTTCTATATTAATGGCCCAAGTAATTTTTTTTTTTACCAAAAGGGATTTTTGCTACAAAAAAAAGATGTTTTAGGCAAAAAAAAAAACAACAACTTAAACCATTATTTTAGGAAGGTGATGATTTAAAAGCTTGAAATCAACATGACGTTGAAGCTCAGGGTAAGTGTAAGCAAATATCTGAACAGCTGTGTATTTACGGTTCCTCTGTCTCCTGTTTCAGTCGTGCAGCATATAAAGCGGAGAGACATCATCCTGAAGAGGGAGTTGGGTGAAGGGGCGTTCGGTAAAGTCTTCTTGGCAGAGTGTTACAACCTCAGCCCCACCAAGGACAAGATGCTGGTGGCTGTCAAGGTACATCTTCACTACTTGGTTGTCAGTGTGTGTGTGTGTGTGTGTGTGTGTGTGTGTGTGTGTGTGTGTGTGTGTGTGTGTGTGTGTGTGTGTGTGTGTGTGTCAGAGTGTCCAATGTTGCTATGGTGTCCAAAGAGTTAACACAACCAGATTCTTTTATTACATTTTGTTGCTGTCACCCGGAAATGTTGCATCGTCAAAAATTGAACTTTTCTCAATGTAAATTTACAGCTAAGCCAAATGGACTTTTATTTACTTATCATTTGTTGGTCATTAATGTAGCCACAGGCATACATGACAAGTTGGATGAATGTAGAACTACGAAAACACAAATAAAAAAAATAGGGATGCAATGTTCTGGAGCAGAGTCTGCACCCACTTTTCTCTAAATGGGGTATCAGATGGGTGTACCGCAGTGACGGTACATAAGCTTTCCTCTGTCACCCTTCAAGGTTCAATTATGTAAATGTGCGTAATCTTTTTACAAACAATGCAGTCGCACGTCCTTTTCACAAAACAGTTCTGTCATAAAGCAGCAAAGCGAGGCATTTTCTAACCTGCTCGTCAATCACTCATCAAGCTGACCGGGTCCAATAAACACGAGCTTTTTCCCATTTCAGGAGATATGGAGTGAAACTTAGCAAGGTGAACCGTGTTCACCATCCCGTCTAATCGGTTGAACACATCAGGCATTCACATTATTTTCTATTGTCTAAAGAAACCACCCTTGGCTGAAACCCAGCGGTCTCCTCTGTCGCACGCAGTCGGCCGATCCCATCAGGTGTGTGGCCAATGGCGAGAAATGGCGGACATGACGCATTTCACCGTCAAAGTCCTGGTGTGTCTTTGCCTAAAATCTGGCAACCAGCTGGTTGGGGAGACCATCTGTCATATCAGTACAAGTACATCACACTCTTGAGCCACCAAGCCGGCAAACACTTCCTTAAGTCTTCTGCTGCGGGGCCCGTCGCTGTCTCGTTTGATGGATTAGAGAAATAACAGCGGCGGGTTGACAACAGCTCTCGACACAGACCTTGTCCTTTCAGAAAACACACGCAGATGGCAAAAGGCATGTAAGTCCTTTAAGTGTTAATTGAGGCCGCAGACGTTCTTGTTTTAAATTGCACCTCTTGCGGTGATCGTTTGTTTTGTCCTATCGAGGTTCGTACCCTGGTTAACAGGATGAATTACCGACAAGTAGATTATGTGCCAGCCAACCAAATGGCAGCTACTTCATACATTTAGGCATCCGGGTGTGGTTAAGACAACTTGATGAAGTACAAACTGAGCTTTGGAATGAGAGAAAAAGGATTTAAGTGATATTGAACCAGATGGGCTTGTCTGAGTATCTCTGATGCTCAGATATAAGACACTCTGACACAATTACCTCCTCAGTTTACAGAGAACGGCCCAAAAAAGGGACAAACAGCAGGCATGTGGGCACAATCTTTTTTGATTGTCAGAGGTGATTGGGTAGAGTAGCTAACAAAGTTTAAAACAGCAAAGGTAGCTCAAATAACCAACTGCTACAATCAAGACACAAAGAGGCAAAAGTCTGGGTATAATTCACACAAGCTCATCAAAATAGGTCAATAAAATACTGGAAAAACGTTACAGAGTCTGGCTTCTCAGTTACTGCTGCCACGTTCAGATGGCGGCGTCAGCATTTCGTGTGAGCGACAAGAAAACTTTGACTCCATGACACTGATGCTGGTAAAGCACCCATCTGTGGGTGTCTGTGTCCGGCATGATGGTGGACTACTGCACAAAACTCAAATCATCTCAAACTGCTTTCTTAAAAAGTAATGAACTCCAGTTTCCTCCACACACTAGATCTAAATCCAGGTACGTCTGAGGAATGTTTCAAACCCCGTATTGAATCAGTCCCTTTAAAAATGCAAGTACAAGCTTGTCCAACCTGGTGGTAGCAACCCGTATTTAATAAAGTGATCTTGATGCTCTGGTTGATATCAGCCAAGTGTAAACTAGGTTGATATCACACAGATATACACAGAGTAAAACAGGTTTTATATAACCAAGCCTGGATAAGTTTACCGCACCATGATCCTGAAGCTCCTTCCTGTTGTCTTCTTCTAGGCTTTTGCACCAGTGGCAACATCTGGTCGTTGATCACGTGACTCGTGTTTTGCAAAAAAAGTTGCTTCCATTGAAGTTTTGCCAACTAAACCAATTTTGATACGGTCAAAAAAAAAAAAAAAAAAAAAAACATCTTCATGTCAAAACTTTTTATTGAACAATTTGTTTCTTCAAAACTTCATTGTTTTTACCAAACAAATGTAGTTTTTAAATGTCAAACTGCACAAACGGCCAATGGAAACACAGCTACTGTAACGTGTCTAAAAGCCAACACAGTGTCCATTTTCTCCTGCCTGTAAAAGAAGCAAGAGGACATCGAGGCTCTCTGAAAACGCTCGAAGGTCAACTCTGGGGAAAAAAAATTCATGGCAGTGCTGTCCCTTAATTTATTGGCGGCGTGCACTTTGAAGGTACTGGTTTGGAGAAAAGCCCAGACCCAAAAACATTTCCTCAAGAGCGCCGCTTGAGTTGGTAATAGAATTTTACGATCATTTCATCTACGCCGTCGTACGTCTCGGCCACTTCAAGCACCGCGCCGAAATAGTGGCGCACATGCAAGTAAATGCATTTCCATCCTGAGGTCATTCCATCTGTGATGATGTTAGCAGCAGGCTGGGAAAACAGGACTCAAGGCTGAGGAGATCAGAAGTGGCAACTCTGTGTATTTTCCTGCTGCTGATGAAGTGTCAAGAGTCTTTTTTTCTCTCTCTCTCTCTCTCTTTCTCCCGGAGAGAGACCGCAATAAGGCTTATAGCTGTTATTTATTTCTCTTTTCTCATATTGGAGGCTTTACCTGACATCCCATCAAGAGTTGGCATTTTATGTGCTCTGCACCCGAAAGGCAGGTTCAAGGCACCTCTGCTTCATCTTATTACCAATCAGATCAGGTTGTTTTGTGTGCAGCTCCTGCGGCTCCACCTTTCCTTCCAGAGCATTACAGCCACAGTGATTGTTGACCTCATTGCTGCAATATGTACAAGGCGTTGAAGAGGGTAGAAAATGACAGCTGCCATAACGGCAGGTTGTAGAGGCGATGCTTTACGATGAGGCAGTGGATGTAACGTGCCGAAGTGAATGTGTGTGAGATAGAGACAAAAAAAATAAAAATAAATACATTCTGTCCATAGTGACACGAATACGCTGCGAAACGAGAACATGCTGATGCATTTCGTCCTCTCGCTCATGGTTTTCCTTCAGTGGGAGAAGCCGGGGAAAATCTCTCTTGAGCTCTCTTTTGGGCTTATACGGTGGCCTGCGGGAGGAAGATTGTGTTCTTATGTGCTTTCAAACATAACCACTCTGAACGAGTTGCTAAACAATGCCATTTTCTATTATTCACAGCCCGGTTTAGTGGGAAGCAAGCTGAACAGTGCCACACAGCTGCTGGAAGAGTTTAAGGGAAGGGCAAGAGTTTGAGTCTGTGTTTGAAAGCAGTTGCCGAAGGGGGTGTTTGACATGCTTTTAAGGCTCAGATAAGTGTCACAAAATGTATGTATGTATATTTAACGGTGTGCAACGTTGCGCTTTCTGGCGACGAAGCCTGCGGTCGTCGGTTGTGCGCTGGGGAACTCTGTGGAGATTAACCCCTGCCTGCCAGAGGGCTACATGTACGACACTGTTCCTGTCAACTCAATAGGAAAACCAGGAAACAACTGGACTTGAAAATGTGGAATAAGTGAAGCTTGTCTGGATCTGTGGCACCCAAAAAGCCACATGTCACCAAACTATAAAAGAAATCATCTTTAACTTTTAGTTATTTACTGAAAATAGAATGTTTGGCTTCTTGTAAATAGATGAATTTTGCTTTAAATGTAAGATACTAGAGTTGTCAACAAGGCAGGACAAACGCTGTGTATGCAGAGTCTATTTACCATTTCATTTACATTTCACTGCTGGATACATAAATTGCCAACAACAGTGAACAGCTGCTGTATAAAGGTGCATTTCCCTCCGCCTACGCAGCAGGCAACATTAACTACATGTTACTGAAGTTGAGCTTAAAAAAAAAAAAACGACCTGTATTTTTACTTTTTCTCATTTTAAACATGAAAAGAAATCAAACTGTATTCCAGAGAAAATCAGTCGCCACTCTTTTTGTGTTTTTTGTTTTTCCATATTGGTTCCTAAAATGAAAAACCTGTTTGAAATTATGTGATGTGGAAACAATATTTATATAAAGATGTTATGAATCCTGAGTCTGGTCAACGGATCGGTTTTGGTCTTCCTAAATAGTCGTTTTGATCAATGGCCATGTTTAGCTGCAGATCAGATCGCAGTGTGGGGAGCCGCGCTGATATAGCCTGGTCAAAAAAATTGTTGGCTTTTTAGGAGAGTTGTGAAATTAGGGGATCTGGAAAATTGCATACGCTTAAAGACTTAAGTGGGTTTTCCAAAGGCCTGGTGGTGACGGTGGAACGACTGGGTCAGAACATCTCCAAACATGGAGCTCTTGTTCCGTGACAAGTTGTCAACAAGTGACATGGTTTGTCATGGACAGCCAAAGCTCTCTGTTGCAGGTATGGATGTGGTCCATTGTAGTGTGAGCCATGTTGGCTCTGATGGGAGGATGTCAGAAAACCCAGGCTGCAAATCAAAAAGAACCGGCAATGGACCTACAAACTCAAACCATGGAAGGAAGGAAAAAATGGCCTGGTTTGATAGATCATGTCTTCCATTGCGTCGATAGAAGTAATGTGAATTATTTACGAGTTTGATGGTTTGAATAGTTTTCTGCTGAAAAAAAAAATCTTATGCGATGTCATGCTTAACACGTCAGAAAGTCTTACCTTAAAAGTGAAGAAATACCCTGCGTGTGCGGGGAAACATCCGTCCCCCACCGCGAAGAGAGAACTGCAAAGTCAAACAAGACGGTTGTCATGAGAATCGAGCGAAGACACGTTGTAATGCAACGTCCAATTTTAATCAGGAATGCCGAGTACTCTAGTTATGTGATTCAGTGACGATCACCTGAAACCCAATAAATGATCCTCACTTGTTCATTGCATTTTAACTAAACTGTGACTTTGCACAGATAAGAACAACAGAAGAACAAGAGAGTTGAAAAACCCAAACAAACTGTGTTTGTGTTATCTTCCAAGATTCACCATCTGACAAACATCTAACGTTCGTCAGGTTTTCTCTGAGTCACTTCTTAAGAATAAAATAAAGCTTTCAGTATAATTATCCATTGATTCTGACAAGTCTGAACACAAACAGATTAAACACACTAATCAAACAAGATGTCTACAAACTCCTCTTGCAGGCAAAATGTTGCAAAGAAACTGGTATTGTTTTCCCTGGAGACCTGCAAGACAAGTCAGTCATGTCATTCCTTTCATTTCCCCCTTCAGACACTAAAAGATCCCAACCTGTCAGCCAGGAAGGACTTCCAACGGGAAGCGGAGCTGCTCACCAACCTGCAGCACGACCACATCGTCAAGTTCTACGGCGTGTGCGTGGACGGAGACCCGCTCATCATGGTGTTCGAATACATGAAGCATGGAGACCTGAATAAATTCCTAAGGTCAGTGTTTCACTAAATGTGCATGGAAATGCATGTCTGAGCTACGTTTTTTCACAAGCAGCCAAAGAGTAACTTCAATATAGTTTTACTCAAGTAAATGTAAAAAGTCGCCATCCAAGAAATTACCACAGCAAAGATTGAGAAGGCATTTGGTAAAAATGTTGCTTGTGTAATTGATCAAACATCGGTTAGTCAATATTTTAAAATGACGTCATGAGATGGACCAAAATGTAAAGTTATGTGGAAATATTGGTATTTCAAAGATCAACATGAAACCAATTCATATAAACAGAATTACAAAAGAACAAAATCAGGCCAAAAAAAAAAAGTTTTTCAGAAAACTGTCTTTCATTATGTAAAGGAAAGTACAACACGGTCAAAATACTCCTGGAAGTAAATTTTTTTCCTAAAAGTAACTTGACAACCAAACTCTGCACTCGGTGCTTATCATTACTGACCTGAAGGAGGCCGGTTCTGTTTTGTCTTTGTGAGTGGAAACTTCATGTTCTTCCTGTCCCAGTTGATCCAATCAGCTACGAAGCAATAGATGGAATGGTTACACCAAAATCCTAAAGGTTTTTTGTGGCAAGAAAATAGTTTTTCACACACCCTCCACACTCAGTCTGACTAGGTTTCTGCTACTTCACAAGCAATGATGGTCGACATGCAAAGAGCTACATGGGAAATTAGCACTACATGTCAACCTGAATCCATTATGCTCATCGTGAAACGCAGCGCTGGTGGTGGAGTCGTGGTTTTACTTCAGCAAGGACAGGAAAACTTGTCAGAGTTGTGGAGGGGTAGTAGGGAGGGTTCGCCTACCCACTTTCTGTTTTGTTGGTCTGTCACATAAAATCCTAAAATGAAAGTCTGTGCTTGTAATTTGACATGAACAAGTTCAAGGAACATAAATTCCTTGCAAGAGCACAAAGCATTTTTAGAGATTTTTAACAGAAATCCAAGAAAACTGCTGCTAAAATTTCCAGCCCCCTTCAGGCCTGTTGACGTCCTCACACGTGGACACACACGCACCGCGGCGCTTTTGTATTTATTTATTTATTTGTATTTGTCAGGCTGCAGTGAGGGAAACGACCTCCGATAAGCTCCAACAAAAGCGACACGACGGCACTACGGCAAGCGCTTTGGTAACGGGAGGCTTGACTAGAGCTGATGTCAGCACGCTCGAGAGCAGTGAGAGATAGAAGCGTGCTATTTCAAGTGCAATGACAGCGGCTGCAGCTGTGTGGATGCTTTTGTGCGTGTGTGTGTGTGGTCTTTCTTGTTTTTAAATCTTGAGAGGTGGATGAAAAGATGACATGTTGTGATTGAGTGTGAGAAGCGAGCGCGCCCCGCGTGCGCGCGGACTCAAAAGTGCGTGAAGATTTTCAGTCTGGAAATCGTTCCTGAAATGAAAGGCAATGTCGCGAGTGATGAAATTCTTTCATGCAAGGTGCAAGACGGCGTTGATTCTTCATCTGCCAGGCCTTTTGGTCACATTTAGAAGGAGTGATGTGCACTAAATCAATGGGAATGAATCAGATCAGATGTTCGGGTCTTACTCAACCTTCAGATGAATTGAGGGCAGCCGGCGTCCAATCAGACACCACTGCATGTGAAGGAAGGTAAAAAAAGAAAGAAAGAGCAACGCCATAAAGGCGCCCCCTCAAATTCCCCTTAACCATCATACCTGAAGCAAAGAACACAGAATGACACTAAAATTCCAAAATGGAGATTGAAAGCCAGGCTGACAGAGGGGAAGAGCATCAGCCTTTCCTGAGCGGCGCCGGCTCAGTAATCACGCTGACATGAAGGTGATGGGAACAGCGGGGACACTTCACAGGAAATGAGTTCTTCACTGTCACCCCAGAAACCTGCACTCAGCCCGTTCTGGTAAACGCGCGGCAGGTGGATGAGATTCCGCAGGCCTGGCTTCGAGTCCCCGGTGTCAAAAGTTTGGCTTCCCGAAGCTCAAATTACAGCCACAGAATTAATCAGAGCGGCGCAGGCACAGAACGGTTTATCAGTGCAATTAAAGCAGCCCGAGCGCTCGCAGGTTCAAGTTAATTTGCTCACTTTTCTCTCATTTTTCTCTTTATTATGCTAATTCTTCTGAACACGCAGAATAGGACATGAATGTGTTCTGGATAAGGCTTTATTAACTCGGCTGTGGGTGACTGTGTTAAAGGCCACGCCGTCACACACTCAGACGTCTGCATCCTCTTAACGCTGAATTAACACGGCCCAACATGTCTTTCATGAGCGATGATGTGTACGCTTATGTTTTAGTTAGCATAGAGCTACTGCAGCACCACCTGTGTGGACAGGACCTTTTAAAAGAACTTAACTATACAAATTTATCACGTGGCCACAGATTCCAGTGTATTTTTTATTTCTTTTGCCATTGGGAAATTACTGGTCAATCTGTAACCTTCCATAAATCAGCAAGATTGTTGAAAAGGTGCTTTTCAACAGTTAAAGGAGTTCTTGGCAATGACCTTCAGTCCGGTTTGAAAGAGTTCAATGACATCCAGGTAAATATGAACTGTGGGAGAAGCACAGTGTTTGTTCTGTTGACCACAACATATTATTGAGGTGAAGGGAGGGTCTTACCTGAAAAAAAAAAAAACGGATATTTTTGTATCAACAGGTAACATTTCCTTGAAGTGGACAAAAATTATATGTGGGGTAGCCCAAGGTTGAACCCTGGGAACCTTCCTATTTAATGTCTACATGCTCCTACAAGCTCAGATTATAAAAGTTGCAAGATTAGTCACTATAACTATGCAGATTATACACACCAGGTGACTGTGAACCCATTTAAGCACTGAGTTGATACATGGAAAAGACATCAATATGCAAATGTCCTACGACTTTCTTCAGCTAACTGGGAATAAAACTGAAGATCAAGAGCCAATGCACAGCTTTCAGGTGTCACAGCTAGAAGCTCGTAATGAGGCCTAAAAACTGATGGACTCTGACCAAATCTTTCAGACACACATAAAGACGGCTACAAAATCGGCCTTTTATCACCTCAAGAACATTATTAAAATACTGTCTAAACAAGATCATGAGAAACTCATCCAATCTTTAGTCAAGTTTAGTTGCTGCCTTTGAGTAATAATAACTATGATGTAGATTCATTCTGGTCTGGAGTTCTGACTTTTTAATACTCTTTTGCCACTGAACTGTAATGTACTTTTGTCTGTGTTGCTTTTATTACATGTAATAATTCCTGCTGCTTCCTGTATTCTCCAAAAATACATTGACTCTACTGGTTGTACCATTCCTAAATGTGAAAAAGGAGTAATAACAATTTTGTGAGGTAGTATATTGATGCAACGTTTAAGTTCTTTCCTGCCTAATTCTTTCCTGTTTAAAGTGGTTTATGCCAACAGGCCTCTAAAATTGATCGCATCACGTTTCCTCTTTACTGAATCAACCTGAATTGTTGTTCCTGACTCAGAGCCCACGGCCCCGATGCCATGATCCTGGTGGACGGCCAGCCGCTGCAGTCCAATGGAGAGCTGGGCCTTTCCCAGATGCTGCACATCGCTACCCAGATCGCCTCAGGCATGGTCTACCTGGCCTCCCAGCACTTTGTTCACAGAGATCTGGCAACTCGCAACTGTCTGGTTGGAAACGGCCTTCTGGTCAAGATCGGAGACTTCGGCATGTCCAGGGATATCTACAGCAGCGACTACTACAGGGTGAGCTTCAGATGACCGTGACGCTTTCACTGACAACAAAATAATATTTTAGAAGCACCACGGTGACTGAAACATTAGAGCTTTTGCTGTGTGCCCAAGGAGACGCCGTCGAACCCAATGTCCTTCAGCTGATAAAGTCCCATTCATTTTAATAAATGGAAACTCTGAACTTGTGGACTAAATTTAGTTCTGTTGGTCCCTAATGAGGCTCAAAGCAGCGTGAAATCAGGCCTCTTGGCTCCCAAATAAGACGCTAACTCTATGTTGTTTATATGTTTATTCTTCTAAATTTTTCCTCGTCTAAGAAGAGTCAGCTGCTCTCCCATCTCCGGTTCAGCCTCAGGCCTTCTCACTACACCTCTTGCATCCACGGTGGAGGATGGAGCGCGTTAGCAGCACGCTAGGAGACGAGCCTGCTGAGCCTGCAGCCTGACGCTTAGAGGCTTGTTTATATTGCTTGTGAATCGTGTCTCCTCTACTGTTTAACACGATTAGCAGCTATGAATGCCACAAACCAGGCGGCAAATGCGAGGCTGCTGATGTTTCTGTTTATTTATTTATTTAGCATTTTTGCTGAGCTGATGATGGCTGCTGCAGATCTGGCTGCCTCAAATAGCTGGGCTTTGTAAAATGACTTTAGGTGCGCCTGATGGTGTTTTCCCAGCGTGACAGCTGGGCCCGTTTGGATGCTGCTTGGGGCATCGCCAGCCCTTATAGAGCACTTGCCTGCTGGGGGAGAAGAGCACTCCTAGGCCCATAAAATGATTTGTTAGGAAATCTGAAGGGAGGTGGGTTTTTTTCTGTGGCTGGCTCACAGCTTAACCACGCTCCCCATCTGCGTGATTACTATATCACTTTCTTAAAAGCAGACAATTTGCTTAAGTTTTGAACGCGATGCAGCAGGGATCTGTGCGTCACGTTCGGCGCAGACTGAGGATCCAGAGAGAGTTCGGTTTCTGGTTGGAACGGGTCAGTTGTGCTCTTGTTGTCTGGTTCTTGCAAAGGGAGGAAGATCGCAGTGATGCAGCGATGTTTTTTTTTTTAAAAAAAAACAACTACTCAAACTAAATCAGACATGAAAATACCACAAGCACACGCGCCGTTTCGTTTCACCGTTAAATTCCAAATCGTTTCACCGTCAGCAGAATTGAATTTCATCGCCCGTCTAAAAGCAAATCCTTCTCTTTTCTTTTTCCATCTCTGCAAGTTGAGCCTAATGACATGTTCATTCGCCAGGCATCCTCCCGTAAAGGCAACATTGGAAGCTTGTAATAGGTCTAGAACCAGATCTCGGTGAAGGAGGATGATTGGATGTTTGGACAAGCAGCAGCTTCAGGTCAGTTTTTAATATGAACCTTGGATAATTGTTTGGCTTCCGTCTGCTACGGTTATTGCACCGGTTCTTCAGATTAAAACAGAAAACGCACGCGCCGCTTTAGAGCTGCTGCAGGTCAGGTCTTGTTTCAGTGTTTGTTGTTCTGCCAGAAATAGAAACAATACATGTGTCTAATACAATGAACTAATTATTAACGATATAAACGATGGTTTATCCATTTGCTGATGATGGACTGATCTTCTGGTCAGTCATTGCCTAATAAGGCGACACTTATTAATAATGTCCTGATAATGTTGAGTAAGTGGCTCGCTCATCATTAAATCTCAGTAAACAGAGAAGAGTTATTAAACGTAGCCTTATCATTCAAAAAAATGGGCAGTTATTTCTTGATTAATTAGGTAACATTTTCCAATAAGTCATAAAATGTACTTTCATATGGCAATGATTATTAATTTATCACAAACTGATGAACTTGATGCTTGATTAATTAGTTTTGGCTTCATAATAAGGCTTGCAAAAATACGTTCGGCACAAAAAGGACCCATTATGGACGAATCATGAACCTAACTAATTATACATAGCTAATTAATTAAGGTTAGGTAATGACAAACTTTTTATCCTAAAAGCCTCATCATTAGGAAGTTCTCAATGCGACGGTACTTACTGGTTGCCTAATGATGAGTTGAAGAGTCTAGAGGCTTAATGCTTACTCAGATATTTAGTTTAGGGTTGATTGATCAGTTAGTTGATGCTTAACTAAATAGTTTGGTTCAACATTAGTCTCTTTTTACCAAAGTGCATTTCTATGGCGCTCGGCGGGAAAGAGTTCCTGCAACATCCGAAGGCTCTTTAAATCTTTCCCCTTGGCTCCGGAGCTCAGAGCGTCTTAGTGATGATCACCACCGGGACTGCAGACGTATCTCTTCGATCAGGCAGACCTCTTCGGATAAAACAGCTGAATGCGTCTCCTTGTTTTGGCCGCGGAGCAGCTTATCTAATTGCGTCAGTCACAACCGAGTTAGCAGGCAGATACCGCTCACTTGGAAGACCGGGTGAGCTGGCTGCTCCCGTCTAACCAATTACAAGCACAATATACTGTACATAAAAGCGAACAAACAGAGACGTTTTACCAAACGCAACAGAGCAAAAATGAGCTGCGTGGTATTTTTTTTTTTAAATTTATGCAATTACTGAAAACAGTATTTTGAGTGAGGAGTGCTAGGTTTTCCTGTCATGGTGGAAAGGTTCTGCTGCTTGGTGTTTTTGTCTTCACTGGTTTTATTCAGGAGCAGCAAGGCAGCAGGGGACCATGACCTTGACTCCTGAGAGTCCCACTGGTAGTTCAAGCTGTCTGTGCGATGGGAGGTGGACTGGTGGTGGGGTGAAAAGGTTACGGTCCTCATATGCTCCTCACTGACAGATGAAAAGAAGCAGCAGGATACGTGATGTGTGGCTGGACTCTGACCAGGACGACAGTGGGGGTTAGCTGTGGATCAGTATTCAGCATTTCAGCCGGAATTCATGAAAACAGGGTCAAGTGGCCAAAAACAAAAACAGTTCATGTTCAGTTCAAGATTCTTTTTTTTCTCCCTGCATTTTGGTTCCTATTTGTTTAGTCCAACTCTAAGAATATGTGTTTGTTTAGGTACCCAGGGACATTTACAGTGAAAGTTATGGAGCGCCATCTGAAGCTTCGGTCCATCTGGAGCAACTGGAGCAACTTTTCTCCACATGCTGGATGACAACCTGTGGCCTCAAGATCTTAAAAGTGACGTGTAAAACTCAACTTGCTTGTTTGCTGGATAACAAGCAAAAAGCCTAAACTTTGGTTGGTTTTTCTCCAAGTCTGATTCTTGTTTATAAGTCTAAAACCAGATGTTGGTCCCAGTCCTTCTGGATAGCGAAGTAGATGGTGCTTTTTAAGTTTGCTCTAGATTTATAAAGGTCAACGTTGGCTCTCCATTTACAGTGTCTGTTCTAAGTAATAAACTAATAAGCGTTAGCACATATATAGCAGCACAAAGTCCCTGATCTGTTTATGTTCTAGTGGATCTTCAGCTTTACCGTTTGGTTAGTGGGGTGTGAAATCAGGATGACCTGTTTGACTCAACAAAAGATTTTCTAATACTCCATAGGCATCATAAAAAGCTACAAATTCATTTGTTTCATTTGGGCAGTTGAATTTTAACTCTAGGTAATTCTCCATGCTGCTGATTGCATTGCTGCCCGTGCCGTCCTCGGAGCCAACAGACCAGGTGCTCTGAACTGTGTTGAGTAGCTATGAATAGCAGCATCCTGCCAGGGCTACAACTACCCCATTGCTGACTATTCGTATGGAAGCTTATTGCCCTGTGGGACACCAGGAAACACTTTGCAGCACAAGGGAGCAACTTCAAGATAGAAATGAATATTGTCCTAAATCCCATCCGTCTGTCGCATCCTTCTGCTCCACCTGCACTGTGTTGTTTAAAGAAAGACGACTCCAGCTCTGCCGGCTGCCTTTTGCATGTTTTTCCTCCCTCCCACTTACTCAAGACGCATTGAAAAAGTTTTCCTGAATTCTGAATTATACATGTTTGGGTAACTATAAATGTTGCTAAAAGCTCTAAAAGGCCCTGTCCATTGAAACTTTCATAGTTTTTGTTTTGTGTGTGTGTTTGACACACTGAAGATGTGCAGCGTCTCTGACAACACAGAGCTCTCAGATGTCACTAATAAAGCTGTTATTTTCCTGTAGTGTAATGATAAGGTGTCTTTATATTGCACGTCCCCCTTCATACAGAGCAGTACATCGTGCAGTGCGCTGAGTTTGACAGTTAATTTTCTTCTGTCATTTTCCCTAAAATGCCTATTTAAATTCCCGCGGTCTCCATTGGCTGACTCGAATGAGAAGTCCAGGACAGCTGCTCCCCCGATTTGTTACAATAATGAAGCGTATTTCTGTCATTTGTGTCAAATTTTGATCCCTGCTTTCTGACGGAAAGTTCAGGTCCCTCCACCAGTTAATTTGATTTTGCGTAGTCGTGCTCATTTGACAGATTTCAGTGGGACCCGACTGAAGTGAAATGACGCTGAAAGCGTCGTTAACGTGAGGTGGCGTCAAAACTCCGGGAGTCCCGAGTGAGGAGCTCTTGTTCGTCCGAGCCTGCCAAAGTACTTAAGGTCTTCAGCTGTTTTTGTCTGGGGAAAAGTAAATAAAAATGCAGGTTAAGAAACATAAAACATTCATATTATAACCACAAATGTCAGATTTTGTGTAATAGACCAATAAAAAGTGGAGCATAACTGTAAAATGTATGAAAAATAAATGCATGTTTTGTTTATTTTATCAACAAATGCAGAGCAACTAGTTTTTACAGCTGCACACACATGGACTGAATTTTCCTCATTCTTGGCAAACTGACTCAGTCAGATTGGACAGGCTGCGTCTGTGAACACCAGATTTCTAGTCTCGCTGCAGAATCTCGGGTCAGAGCGCGAGTGGTCCTGTTGGTTGTCTGTCTGTCTGTTGCTGTCTTGCTGGAAGGTGAACCAAAAGGGTTTTGCAACGACCTGGCATGTTTGTCATCTTTTGATACGTTTTTGAACGGCGCTCTTTCTCAGAATATTGTTTTGTAACCCATCCCTGGTTTAAACCTCCACTCAACTTTCTCCCAAAGCAGTC